CTCACAGTAAACAAGTTCCTCCTCATATTTAGATGGAACTTCTTATGATCATGTTTGTGCCCATTTCCTCTTGTCCTGTCCCTGGGCACCACTGAAAAAAGACCAGTCCTGTTCTCCTGACACCCTCCCTTTAAGTATTTACAGATGTTGATCAGATCCCTCCTTAAGAGAGATGCTCCAGCCCTCTAATCCTCTTTGTGGGCCTCTGCTGTCCCCTCTCCAGCAGTTCCCTGTCCTTCTGGAACTGGGGAGCCCAGAACTGGTCCCAGTGCTCCAGCTGGGGCCTCCCCAGGGCAGAGCAGAGGGGGATAATGACCTCAATGCTATTGCACGTGTAACTCAGAGCGTGAGACAGATTATCACCACATCCAAATTTACGATGACCTCAATGCTATTGAACATGTAACTCGGAGTGTGAGACAGATTATCACCACATCCAAATTTACACCCTAGTCCTGTAAAATACCTTCTTTATGTTACCCCAGGAGTTTCAGGTCATATGTGGAAAGCTTTGAGATTTTCTTCGTTATCTTGTAACCTCTTTTTTTCCTCCTTTCTTTCCTGATTACAGGAAATTTTAGCTGAGTACAACCTGAGCAAATTAAAAATGTTATTTGGAGGCTATTTTGGCTGGGTCGTTTTTGTTCCCTAGGAAATAAATAAGGTAATTTCAATCAAAAATGCACGTTAGTGTATTTATAAAAGAAATATTTCTGCTACTGCTTCGGAAAAGTGTTGCAAAGCTCCGGACCATAAACTGTGTCATGTACTACCCGTTACTCTGTGTTTGCAGGCAAGCAAAACAGCGTTATCCTAAAAAGCTATTAAAGATGCTGTGTAATTTAGTAACCTTATTTTAAAGCAAAATGATGTATTGGGTTATGATAGTGTGAAATGAGGGTTTCATGTACTCTTGCCTCAGACTCTCTTCCCATTAGTCATTTGTTTCTTGGTTGGCTGCCTGTGAACAGCTAAAGGAGAAGTTTTCGCTTCTGGGATTTAATATTTGTCATGCCTCATTGTTTTTGTTTTATTTTTAGGTCTTTTTTTTAGCTGTGCTGAGTAATGGCTCGTTTTGGTTGCAGAGTCATCTGAGAGCCTGAACAATAATGGCTTGCCGTTTTATTTTATAGCACAAAGAAATTAAAATTTATTTTAAATTCACATATCTCATCCTGCTAGTCTTCGAGATCTGTTATCAAGCTGTGGGAAGAGTTTCAGATTTTTCAACAAAATTTTATTTTTTTTTTCCTAATGAAAGCGTGCAGCTCGTATCATTGTGCTTTTTCCAGCGTTTTTCAGATCCTCCTGAATAACCTCCCTCTGTGCAGAGCATGTTCCAGGGAGAAGTTTTATTATTATTTTTTTTTCTAATGAAAACGTGCAGCTCGTATCATTGTGCTTTTTCCAGTGTTTTTCAGATCCTCCTGAATAACCTCCCTCTGTGCAGAGCATGTTCCAGGGACCAAGCCTGGCTGACCTCTGTTTTAAATGTCAGGGCTGCTTCACCCTTGCCTTTCAGATTCCATTTGCCTTCTTTAACCCTTCCTTGGACCCTGCTTGAAGCAACACCATTTTAGAGAAGCACTTTTCCAGCCCGAGCTGTACTATTATGCAGCTGGAGTAATTATGTTTTACAGCTGTGCATTGATTCCTTCTGCACAGTCTGTTGTTGGCGAGCCTGGCTGGGTTGTGCTGTTTACAGGAGCTGTGAAGTGTCTTGACCTAACTGAATTTCAATAGACAGGCTAAGTTTCTTGATGACTAAATCAATTTATAAAGCCTTCAAAGTCCCTATGTTATAAAATAGAGGTACTTATTCACCTAGTTCTCTCAAAACAGCATCCCATGGGTGAATTGCTCCCTGTTTTATAAAAGTACACACCTCGATATTCTTCTGTTGTTGTTTTACTTTGTCAAACTGCACTCAACTTCTCTCACTTCCCCTCAGGTCTACATCCAAGATAGTGTGGTTGATATTACCATGACTATCTCATTCTAATCATCATAGTTAATTAATATGTTGGTGGACAACAGGATGCCCAGGAGCCAGAAGTGGGCCCTGGTGGCCAAGAAGGCCAAGGGCATCCTGGAGGGGCATCAGGAAGAGTGTGAGCAGCAGGTGGAGGGAGGTCATCCTGCCCCTCTGCTCTGCCCTGGGGAGGCCCCAGCTGGAGCACTGGGTCCAGTTCTGGGCTCCCCAGTTCCAGAAGGACAGGGAACTGCTGGAGAGGGGACAGCAGAGGCTACAAAGGTGATGAGGGGCCTGGAGCATCTCTCTTAGGGGGAAAGGGTGAGGGACTTGGGTCTGTTTAGTCTGGAGAAGAGAAGGCTGAGGGGGGATCTGATCAACACCTCTAAATCCTTCAAGGGTGGGTGTCAGGAGGACAGGGCTGGTCTTTTTCCAGTGGTGCCCAGGGACAGGACAAGAGGAAATGGGCACAAACTTGAATATAAGAAGTTCCGTCTAAACATGAGGAGGAACTTATTTGCTTTGAGGGTTGCAGAGCCCTGGCAGAGGCTGCCCAGAGAGGTGGTGGAGTCTCCTTCTCTGGAGACCTTCAAACCCCACCTGGACACATTCCTGTGGGACCTGCTCTGGATGACCCTGCTCTGGGGTTGGACTGGATGATCTCCAGAGGTCCCTTCCAACCCCAGATCATTCTGGGATTCTGTGGTTAAAATTTTCCTATTTTGTCCCATTGTTTCCTAGCCTTGGTGTAGGTGAGGGTGCAGAGTAACTATGAAGACCAAACAGAGTGTGTTTTATTGTGCACTTAAAAGTCCAGAGCTTTAACAGTGATGGAAATTTGGAAAAATACTGAAAGTAGGTGAGGGTGTAGAGTAACTATGAGGACCAGAGTGTGTTGTATTGTGCACTTAGAAGTCAATAGCTTCAACAGTGATGGAAATTTGGAAAAATACTGAACGAGGAGAAAAAGACTTTAGTAAACAGTGTCTCTTACCCACCCTGCTACATGACATACTGTGTGCTGCATAGGATTGACTTTAAAACACTGCTTTTTCTAGTGTTGATTGTAGCATCGAAGCATTCCCTACCATAAGGTACATACTTGAATTAAGCCTTTGGAGATGTGTATAATCACTCCCTCAGCTGAAGGAGGAATGGTAATAAATGGCAATAACAAACACCTGCATTCTTTCATAAATGCAATGACTCCTGAAAGTGGAGTGGGTTTCAGATCACAATATTTGCTTCCTACTGTTCTGTGTTGTCAAACCTTCTCCTTGTTGTGTGGCCATTCATTTTAGTCACAGGTTTTAGATGATGATAAAGGCATGAGATGGCAACACTTCTGAAAATGTTCTGTCCTGACTTGCCTGGTGTTTGTGTTTCTTCGTTGGTACAAGGAGCCCTCCTGTGCAGATGAGGAACTCCCTGCGTAAGGTATTCTGAGGTGGCCCTGGCACCTTTGTCCACCTTCCTGCCATGATTTTGCTTGTCTTGGGCCTTTTTCTAGGCATCTGGTGTCGGGGTGCTGCTTCCAGTAGCCATGCAAGTGGAAGTGAAGTGGTGTAATAGCCAGCTGCCAACAATACCAGAAAGAAGGAGTGACTCTGGCTCTTCCATATGAACCACAAGACTAGTTCATATATTGATATACATCAAATTAACTGATTTACATAGCCTTTTATTTTGAAAAGTTCTTCTGAGCGGGTTAGTGGGTGTATATTTTGCTGCTTTTGGGGGCAAATCATAAAGCAACTGCTCTCTTTGTGTTCTCTGACCAACAATAAAGTTATGTTTTGCTGACATGAGTAGTGCTTGGGGAGCAAAATGTTTTGGTTTTTTTTTCTTTAGAATGATGCTACCTCTTCAAGATACATCCAGTGATTTCTTAGGAGAATTCTTTGTTTAGTGGCTGTATCACATATTGTGTGTAAAACGCATTTTTTCAGAACTTTTAAGTAATTGGGGAAATTTGTTTTTGATTCTCCGGGTTTTACCAACAAGATTGAGACCCTCCAAAGTCAAGTTAAAAATCTAAGTTTGGAGAACAGAGAAAGTGGCTGTTACAATGATGGATGTGATACTTACCTTCAGAAATAGGACTTATTTTTCAACCCACTCATATCCAGTGTATATGCTGTGAAGGGAAAAGTGTCAAAAATGGATTTTTCTGACAGAAATATCTATCTTTATTTGAGAGTTTGTGATAAAGAGGGGCTTTGAGACTCTTGTACCCGCCTCACTAACGATTAATGTAACTTGAAAAGACAGGCTTTATTTTTGGTTTTACAATGTCAGCTTTATTTTGCTGTGCCTGTTTACAGACTTTTCCTGCGGGTGGGGAGGAAGGAAGCGCTGCTTTGAAGTTAGGATTTTTGTCTGTCTTCCAGCAGCATGGATTGAGAATTAACTTGTGTTACCTGCCTTGGAAAAACCTGTTCTAAAGTCTGTGCTCCTCACTTACAGGCTTTGTGGAGCTGGAAAGCGGATTAAAGACTGGGCAAACACATCAGCATATCATCAGCAGCAAGAAATCTTTTATAAATAAGGATGATACAGAAAAGAGAATATGGCAGAAAGGAGAGTTACAGTGACGGCTAATTTGTGTAGACAGGCATTTTATAGGATAGGAAGAACTTGTAGCAGTGCAGAACTAGGAATTATTTAAAAACAATGAGCAAATAGAATTGTTGAATGGTTTAGGTTGGAAGGGACCTTAAAGACCATCCAGTTTCATCCAGGGACACCTCCCACCAGAGCAGGTTGCTCCAAGCCCCCTCCAACCTGGCCTTGAACCCCTCCAGGGATGGGGCAGCCACAGCTTCTCTGGGCAACCTGGGCCAGGCTCTCACCACCCTCACACCAAACAAGTTCTTCATAATACCCAATCTAAATCTCCCCTCTTCCAGTTTGAAGCCGTTACCCCTTGTCCCATCACTACATGCCCTTGTAAAATCCCTCCCCGGCTTTCTCGTAGTTCAATTTCTGATTTCAAGAACTAAATGAAGACCTTAATCTTCTTTTGCAGAACCAAAAAACGAAAGAACAGATTGAAAGCTTGTTACAGAATGGAAAACATAAAGAGTTACGGGACCGTCTGTGCTGCAGGTTGACCTTTGGGACTGCCGGGCTCCGCTCCGCTATGGGAGCTGGCTTCTGCTACATTAATGATCTTACGGTGATCCAGTCGACACAGGTAAGATGAATCACAGAATCACAGAATCTTCTAGGTTGGAAGGGACCTTAAAGATCATCTTGTCCAACCGTCAACCCAACTGACAAAAAAAGACCCACACAACAAACAAGGAGCATCATCACTAAACCATACCTCCCAGCACTTCATCAACCCATCTTTTGAACACCTCTAGGGATGGTGCCTCAACCACCTCCCTGGGCAGCCCATTCCAATGCCTGATAACCCTTTCAGTGAAAATTTTTTTCCTAATATCCAGCCTGAACCTCCCCTGGTGCAACTTGAGGCCATTTCCTCTTGTCCTGTCGCCTGTGACTTGAGAAAAGAGACCGACCCCCACCTCTCTACACCCTCCTTTCAGGGAGTTGGAGAGAGCAAGAAGGTCTCCCCTCAGCCTCCTCTTCTCCAGGCTGAATAACCCCAGCTCCCTCAGCCTCTCCTCATAAGACTTATTCTCCAGACCCCTCACCATCTTTGTTGCCCTTCTCTGGACCCGCTCCAGCACCTCAATGTCTTTTTTATGGTAGGGGGCCCAAAACTGGACACAGTACTCAAGGTGAGGCCTCATGGGAGAGGAGGAAACGATTTCACACTAAATACTTGGGTCGTACAGGGCACTGCTGAAATACAAGCTGAGGGAGAAACACAGCAGCCATTCAACAGGAGGGTGAGGGCATGAAATTGTTAGTGCTGGAAGAAAACAAAGTAGTTTGAGCAGGTTTAATTGACATCCTAGGAGGCAGAATATAATCACTTCCGCTGGAATTTGGCTGGTAGTTAAAGTCTATTATTCTGCTCTGAAGTTGGAAATCCTTAGCTGTCATAAAAACTTGTAGTGTTTGTCAAAAGCTAAACAAAAAAAGCCTGAATAAAATCCAAAAAGCAAACCTACTTCCCAACCAAACAAGCCTTTTGTTTCATTTTTAACCAAGGTTATGAGTAACTCTACAAAAATAGCAGGTTTTAATAAGAAAATGAACAGGAATTAAGATGAAAAAGCAAATGTAGACTGGCTGTGAAGAACATCTGTATTGTAAATTGTTTAACTTTGGGGGAATCCTTCCAGTAACACTGGTTGTGTTACCTACAACTGAATTAACAACGAGAAATACAATTTTCTGGACTTGTTTCTTTGATATCTTTTACCTTCCTTTTTTTCCTTCTGTTGAGTTTGGTCTTTAATGCCAGAAGAGCACTGAAAGATAATCAGACTCTTCTCCATTTCTCTCCTTGCATCTCTTTCAAGCAACATTAATGAGTTGTATGTGTGTTGATTGTCCAAATAAATTAACCTGTTGATTAATATAAGGCTTCCTCATCTCTGCTTCTCATTGAAGAGCTGTTTGGTTCAAGGGCAGATGATAGATTCTTTCTCAAAGAACTTGGTCTCCAGTTGTCTCGTTTCTTTCCCCACCTTCTCAGTTAACACCTTTGGAAGGAACAGTTGATGTTGATTTAGTTTTTGATCAAAAATGATCAATGCTTCTTTTCTTCATTGTTACCTTGTAGTGGATTTGTTCTTAAATTTGTTTATTGTACAGTACCTGACTGCTTTTCCACTGATGTGTTCCTCTCATAATTTCCCCCCCTCAAACAAGTAGATTAAATAACTACTCTTTACAACTAAACTTCATAAGAAATTAATTCAAAGTACATTTGAAATTGATCTGATATTATCCAGACCTTGAAAGAAGAGTCTGAGTTTGTTTATATAATCAATTAACATTGATTTATCTGGGGTTGTAGTCCTGTTAAACTGTCATTCCTGACTTCAGCTGTCATTCTTGCGCAGACTTTATTATGATAAATATTAAGCAAAAGGCAGTTGGATTCTTAATTTGCAAAATACAGCTTTCTCTCACCTCAGTGAAGGTGGTGGGAGGCAAGAAAAGAGAAGTGTTGAATCCTTTTGAAAATGAACAGAGTGAGTCAGAGAATGGATGTTCCCTATTTCCTTATGAATGTATAAAATACAAATGGGTTTGGACTGTGCATGTTAAACATACTTAAGGTGGGAACAGATTGGATGTTTAAGTCTTGACTGTTAAAAATATAATTAACTGATATATTTGTAACTATTACACTTGGAAAATCACTAAAACATTCTCGTTATGACAAACCTACTGAATCTTATGTACTTTGTCAAGCACTTTTTTATAAACAGAGCCTCAGCCATGTGATAAAATGTGTTTTATTGCATGATTTACAAAGGATTGATACAATCTCTCATTTAATACTGTGTACTTCAGCGTTTTAAAATAGTCATCTCTTTGCAGGTTAATGCTCCGATACAAACCCCGCAGTAGATATGACTGAAATAATTTGTTTTCTGTTGGCTCGTTTAGAACTTGCAACAGCCAGGATTTTATTCAGCTGGTTGCCATACTCTGGTGTCTGACTGGTACAACTGGACCCAAACTCTTGCGGTGAAACCAAATTCCAGTGTCTGTTTATACAGGCTTTAAAAAGAATATAAGTAACATGTTGGAGCTCATTCATAGCATTTGAAACCCAGCCTTGCATCTGACCAGTTTTTTCTCTTCTTGGGTCTGTAACAGAAAGTTTGCTTTAGGTTTCTAAGCTGAACACATTTTAGAATGATGCTTCCTTTAATTCCAGCCTTTCAGAGCTGATCAGACCAAACTCATCTGCTACAAACACCGTACTGGTATGAAGAAAACTTATTGATGTGGTACATGTGGTCCCCACTGATCCAGTGGGAACAAGTTGGAGAAATGAAGGGTAAAATGGTCTTAAAAACTAGTAGTTTGTTGCCAGTGATGGAATTGTTAAGAGCAGCGAAGTTGCTTTAAACAATTCCATTTTTCTTTGAAGCTGAGCAAACATCTTGATAAGGCAGAGGAAGTTAATAATAGTCACTTTGCTTTTTTGGCCTGTGCAGGCTGTTGGATTTGGAGTTGCTGGTGCTGCCTTTGTGTTTCCAGGCTGGTGAAATCCTGACGGAGCTGGGATGGGCTGACTGATACACATTCTTGGCAGAAAGCAAAAAGTTTCATTTTGGTCAGGGGAGAACGTGTTTGCAAGTTGAGTTTCACAGGCATTGCTGGTTTCTGAAAGTAAGAAACCGGGTTGTATTCAATTGCTCCCTCTCTGGAGCTTCTATTTTTAGTTGTTTATTAAAACAGTATCTCAAGTTAGGAAAAGCAATCTGTCGTGGAGACACAATCTCTGGGAAGCGGATTAGAACTTGTTTTGATCTAAACTGCACCAGATTGAATCTCTTTGTTTGAGTATTCCTGTTTCAGAAGCTAAAGGCATTAACAGTTTTGCTGAACCGAACCTGAAAATGGGCAACTCTGTCTCTCTATTTGTCCCCCCCTGCTACAGGAGTAAATGGCCATTCAAAAAAGTAGAATTTAGCGTAACTAAAGTATTTCTGTCAATTAAAATAAAGCTTAATTAAGTTGCATGCTTAAGTGCATGCTGTGTTCTTCATTTGTGTGATTATATTAATATATCATGAAAAGTCATGTGCCAAAAAGGCACAGAATATCCTGAAGTTGCTTTTGACTCTTCGGAAGGGCACAAACTCTACATTTTCTTGCTCAAGTATTGCTCTGTCCTGCTGAACCAATTGCTTTTATTAATAGGTAATTAACCCATCACTGACCCTCCACAATGCCAAAACCAGTCATCTTTGTGTCATTGTTATGCGTTTCCTGTTGCTATATAAACAGAGCTAAAGATAATAGTTGAAAAATTTAAATACTGGACTTCATTAAGCTGTTACTCTTTTGATTTCATCAACCAAAAATCTTTCCATCCCATTCTTGGTGCCATCATTTTCACCGAAATTAATCGTTAGGGCCTGGACGTGCAAGAGGATTATTTAAAATATGGCAAACTAGATCTGTCTGTGAATTTTATATAGGGAAATCACCTGAACTGTGCAGTGGTATAAAAATTTGTAATACTTCAGTGCACCTAAAGAGAATTTTGTCTTAGATCCACTGGGGTGGTTACACATTTGCATTTGCATGCTGACACTTATTAGTAAGTTATTAATTATCACCAAGTCTATAATGGCAGGATGTGGACTTGGATATCTTCAATTTAGAAGCAGTAGCTATCCCAGGAGAAATTAGATGGGGGACACTATCAAAACCTGAGTCCTGTAAAAAGGAAATAGAAATTCTTTAAATTGAGAAACTTATTAAAGAAAGGACTTACCCCAAGAGGTGTTGGAGCTGCTGATGGGCCTCTGAGAAAGGGAGAAGGGCACCTGGAGGAAAATAGGTATGAACTTGAGCAGAGGGTTCAGATAGTGAAGAGACTCTGTATTCACTTCCTCTCACTGTCATTTTTTATTTATTTTAATTTCCTGCAGCTTTAACAAAGGTGTTTGGATGGTAAACAAGCCCAGTAGGGTTGGACTGATGTCAGCTGTGGGATCTTTGTTCTCATACTGCGTATCACGTTGTCTTCATTTGAAGCAAAACTTCTCCATGGCAGAAAGTAAACACATTCCTATTTTTATTCCAATGAAATCTTTGAGCTCTGTCAAACAGTAAAACTGGTTTAAGAGGATGTCCTAGGAAAAATCTTACCTCAACCTTTGAGGAGAGCATTATTTAGATTGTAGTGGCATCCAATAGGGTCCTAATTCTGTAAGTATTATTTTTCTTCATGCAGTTTCTTGATGTTTGAGCAACAAATACAGATAAAACTCTGCGATGTGCTCTGATCTCAAGATAAATAAGCCTCGATAAAAATCTGTTGATGGTGCCATGGCACGGCTTCCAGTTCCATCAGTATTCAAAGAGTTTTCTTTATTTTAAAGTTTTTCTGTGAATCCTATAGAAACACTACATCAGTGGCTGAAATGGTTCTCCAAAGAGATTCCAGTATCCGCTTGTTCACGTTTGAAGCACATTCTTTGGTGGAAAGGGAAATAACCATTAAAAAAAAATTGAGCTCAGCTGAATTTCATGGGTAGAAGCTTTCCAGCTGAGAGATTGCTTATTGGGTGATATCGAGTCAGATGCAGATAAGGACATTGCAAAGAATTGCACTTAATATTGGAGGAAAAATCAGTTTAATTCTAGTACAAAACGTCCCTGTCCCTTTTATCCAGAGGAAGCTTGTGCCCTCATAAGAGGTGACATTTATAAGATAAGATCAGCGGTGGTAAGTTTTCTTCTGGGGATGTTTCAACACTTATTTCTCCTCATCCTCAATGTGTTTTGAAAATTTACTCCCTTCCTCTGCTCCCCTTTCTTCATCCTGATCGTGGTCTTCTCTCATTTCTTGCCATTGGAAATAGTCTGTCGCGCTCTAGGTGGGGCCTCCCCAATGCCCAGTCCAGGGGGATGATCACCTCCCAAGTCCTACCTACCATGCTGTTCCTGACACAGGCCAGGATGCTGGTGGCTTTCTTGGCCACCTGGGCACACTGCTGGCTTATGTTCGGCCAACAGTTGACCAACACCCCCAGGTCCTTTTCTGCCAGGCAGCTCCAGCCACTCTGCCCCAAGCCTGTAATGTCCATGGGGTTGGTGTGACTCAAGGGCAGGACCTGGCACTTGGCCTTGTTGAACCTCATCCCATTGGCCTCGGCCCATCCATCCACTCTGTCCAGATCCCTCTGCAAAGCCTTTCTACCCTCAAGCAGGTCGACACTCCCACCCAACTTGGTGTCATCTGTGAACTGAGGGTGCACTCAATCCCCTCATCCAGATAATTGATAAAGATGTTAAAGAATCACAGAATCTTCTAGGTTGGAAGGGACCTCAAAGATCATCTTGTCCAACCGTTGAGAGAACTGCCCCCAATACCAAGCCCTGGGTTACACCACTTAGTTGACTTAAAGAGTAATGAAGAGAGAGGCATGGACTTGATAAATCCTTTATAATACCAGTTCTTTGCAAATGTGGAATGTAAGACCAGTCATTTCACCAAAGAATTTACTGTCTAAATGCACAAGAACGTTAGGCAGGCATTAAGAAGTTGATATGCCCAGAGAAAAATTTGAATGTGAAGGTAAATTTGGAATATTAACATCTAGCTTGAAATCACCAAATGTTAATACAATATTCTTAACACTGTTCTTTTATATTACACATCTGATTTAAGCTTGCTTGGGGGAGAAGAATTCTACCTGCAGCCTACTGTAACCCAATATTTTGGTACCTTATTCTAGTATTTCCACATTGGGAATATTTTACCTGGAATGCTTAAAATGCAAACTTCCAGTGATGCCAAACTATGCTCTTTGCAGAAAGGGGAGAGGGAATCTCTGAAAGAACTACTTTCTGAATTTCATAAGGAATCTTAATTCCTTGTCATTTGGGGAGCAAAACACGTGTTGTAATGGTGTGCTGTACAAAAAATGCCAACCCAGTATTAATTTATTTAGTTAAGTAGTAGTTAATTAGTGTAGTTAATTGTTCTAACATAGTCATTTTATTTTTATTTATTTTTGTCAATAATTTAATATTCTAGGGCTATGAAAGTTCTTTTATAGCAGAGCACAGAATCTACTTTCTCTGTTCCCCCAAAATCTCCCTCTCCAGGCTTTCCTGTCCTTTCTCAGATACGTGTGACCACCAGGCTTTGGCATAAGGGTTTTAAACTCATCTGTTACACTGTGTTTGCAAAGCTATTACCTAAATGGGGTTATTCACAGCTTAAAAATGTGCAAGTGTCAGAAAAACATTCCTTTCCAGCCACACAAAGCTGGGAATTCAGAGTTGGTGGCAGCTCAGTCATCGTGTTTCACGTGTCAAAGGAGCAAATTGTTTCTCAGCTACGGGGTTTTCTTTTGTCCCCTCGGGATGACACCCAGTTCCAGGAGTGCTAAAATCAAATTGAACCTCCCCAAAAGAGGGGTTTTAATTGGATCAGTGTGTTTATCCAGCACTATTAGCAGGAGCACCCTTTTCTTTCCATCAGCTCCAGTGCCGAGGGAGGTGACAAACCTTCCGACTCTATCCCCTAATTAAATTGATGTAAACCATTGTGATACACAAGCAAAATTTCAGTAGCTCCGGCTACAAGCTGAGCTCTCAAACTCTTCAGTGGTTTCACGTTATGTTTGATAAGTGCTATAGTGAAATTCTGAGTAACTGAAACTACAGTTTATCTCATGGGAGATAAGGAAGCAACTATTAATGCTTATCTGTAAAAATAAGCGAGCAAAGCGAATTTACACTATTTAATCTCTCATCTGTTTTGGCTCTGATACTTCCCATTAAGCGCTGAGCTGTGTATTCTTGAAAAGAAGAGTTTCATATCAAAGTTACCTGAAAGAGAATGTGTTTCCCTGCTGCTTGAAAGGAAAAATTTGGAAGAAAGGCAAGGTTTAAAAACTCAGCTGCCGTTACTGTTTCTAAACTTTCTGGACTAAGAGCGTGCTGGTGTAAAGTGCATTTTAGGGATAGATCTGCCCCATGGATGTTGTCTGAAGCTGCTGAACAAGGCTGGCAAACAAGTTTTGCTGTCTGGGATACTGAATCCTTTCCCAGACCTGCTGTTGCAGACATCTGGCACTTCAAACTTTCTGGGAGGTTGGTTCTGTCCTTGAATGAAGGACAAGTTTCACACCAGTCAGTTCTGTGCCTTTGATTTTGATATTGTTTATTTATGTGGTTGACTGAATTGCCTTATGCTTTTCAAGTCAGAAATAAAAGCTCTGTCTTGGGTTCTATAACTTGGAAACTGTATTAATTGACTGTGTAAACTGTACTACTTTTAGTGTAAGGAAAGAAAAAGGGATTTAAGGAACAAGTGAAATGAAGGTTACAGTAATGCCATCTGGTTGTTGGGCTGTCGTGGGGAGTTGGGTTGACTGGATCTTTTCTTTTTTCACCTTGGTAGACTGGCAAAGCTCACTGCAGCAGTCCTGCTGGCTAAAGATGTCCCTGTCTACTTCTTTTCCACATATGTCCCTACGCCGTTTGTGGTGAGTCACCTTCTCCTTTATCTTGTTGATAAATCCAGGTAACGGAGTATTTGAAAGATTACTAAAAATCAGAACTAGCAAATTTTTATCAAATTCTGTTATTTAAGCAGAAAAATAGAGGTTGCTGGGTACATTTGAAGAGGTTGTAACAAAAATGTGGCTGAATTTTTCTGGATGCAGATAGTTTGTGGACATAAGACATCAGAGTGAAAGAAATGAAGAATTGCCTCTACTTTTCATCTCAAAACCTCCCAGAGCTTTCTGTTTAGTCACAGAAACCTTTTCTTGCAGGGCTTTAAATCTTCATTTTCTATCCTGCAAGCTTTTCTAGTGTGCTGTGTAGGCTGTGGATCTTCTTTCGAGGGGAGGACCAAAAGGACTGGATGTTCTTTAGCTTGGAAATACCCGTAACTTGTTTTTTCAACAAGCCTTTTGGGGAATTCCTTCATTCTGTTTCAACCTGTTTTGTCTTTCTCAAATACTAGTGTAATCTGAGTGTGGACTTTCTTTAGTTGGCCAGTTAACAATTGTGTTTATGTCATTGGTAAATAGAATAACGTTCCAAGGCAAGAGAATAGAAGCTTTCTCTCTGTTACAGGAAACGGAATGATGAGTGTTCACATAAACAATTTTTCAAATAAACTGGTGAAACTTTGAACCAGTTCTCCTGTAGCATCCTATTGCATAACTGTCCTAATAATATAATCTTACCTGTATCAGCTGTAGAACTCTTGTGTAAATTGACTTTTCTGGGTTTCCTTTGTAGCCCTATGCTGTTCAGCAGCTCAAAGCTGTGGCTGGTGTGATGATCACAGCGTCCCACAACCGAAAGGAGGACAATGGGTACAAGGTAAGGCTTGAACTTGAAGTTCCTAGCCTGTCACAGCCAGTTGCTTTCCAGTATTACCTACTGGAAATGCCTTAGGCATTTGGCTGCTTCTGGAACACGTGTACAGTAGAAGGAGAAATTATTTCAAGTAATTCATCCTTCTATAAACAAAGGAGCAAATTGTTTCTCAGCTACGGGGTTTTCTTTTGTCCCCTCGGGATGACACCCAGTTCCAGGAGTGCTAAAATCAAATTGAACCTCCCCAAAAGAGGGGTTTTAATTGGATCAGTGTGTTTATCCAGCACTATTAGCAGGAGCACCCTTTTCTTTCCATCAGCTCCAGTGCCGAGGGAGGTGACAAACCTTCCGACTCTATCCCCTAATTAAATTGATGTAAACCATTGTGATACACAAGCAAAATTTCAGTAGCTCCGGCTACAAGCTGAGCTCTCAAACTCTTCAGTGGTTTCACGTTATGTTTGATAAGTGCTATAGTGAAATTCTGAGTAACTGAAACTACAGTTTATCTCATGGGAGATAAGGAAGCAACTATTAATGCTTATCTGTAAAAATAAGCGAGCAAAGCGAATTTACACTATTTAATCTCTCATCTGTTTTGGCTCTGATACTTCCCATTAAGCGCTGAGCTGTGTATTCTTGAAAAGAAGAGTTTCATATCAAAGTTACCTGAAAGAGAATGTGTTTCCCTGCTGCTTGAAAGGAAAAATTTGGAAGAAAGGCAAGGTTTAAAAACTCAGCTGCCGTTACTGTTTCTAAACTTTCTGGACTAAGAGCGTGCTGGTGTAAAGTGCATTTTAGGGATAGATCTGCCCCATGGATGTTGTCTGAAGCTGCTGAACAAGGCTGGCAAACAAGTTTTGCTGTCTGGGATACTGAATCCTTTCCCAGACCTGCTGTTGCAGACATCTGGCACTTCAAACTTTCTGGGAGGTTGGTTCTGTCCTTGAATGAAGGACAAGTTTCACACCAGTCAGTTCTGTGCCTTTGATTTTGATATTGTTTATTTATGTGGTTGACTGAATTGCCTTATGCTTTTCAAGTCAGAAATAAAAGCTCTGTCTTGGGTTCTATAACTTGGAAACTGTATTAATTGACTGTGTAAACTGTACTACTTCTAGTGTAAGGAAAGAAAAAGGGATTTAAGAAACAAGTGAAATGAAGGTTACAGTAATGCCATCTGGTTGTTGGGCTGTCGTGGGGAGTTGGGTTGACTGGATCTTTTCTTTTTTCACCTTGGTAGACTGGCAAAGCTCACTGCAGCAGTCCTGCTGGCTAAAGATGTCCCTGTCTACTTCTTTTCCACATATGTCCCTACGCCGTTTGTGGTGAGTCACCTTCTCCTTTATATCGTTGAACCATCCAGGTAACGGAGTATTTGAAAGATTACTAAAAATCAGAACTAGCAATTTTTTATCAAATTCTGTTATTTAAACAGAAAAATAGAGATTGCTGGGTACATTTGGCTCTTCCAAGAGGTTGTAACAAAAATGTTGCTGAATTTTTCTGGATGCAGATAGTTTGTGGACATAAGACATTAGAGGGAAAGAAATGAAGGATTGTGTCTACTTTTAATCTCAAAACCCCCCAGAGCTTTCTGTTTAGTCACAGAAACCTTTTCTTGCAGGGCTTTAAATCCTCATTTTCTATCCTGCAAGCTTTTTTAGTGTGCTGTGTATAGTGTGGATCTTCTTTCGAGGCGAGGACCAAAAGGACTGGATGTTCTTTAGCTTGGAAATACCCATAACTTGTTTTTTCAACAAGCCTTTTGGGGAATTCCTTCATTCTGTTTCAACCTGTTTTGTCTTTCTCAAATACTAGTGTAATCTGAGTGTGGACTTTCTTTAGTTGGCCAGTTAACAATTGTGTTTATGTCATTGGTAAATAGAATAACGTTCCAAGGCAAGAGAATAGAAGCTTTCTCTCTGTTACAGGAAACGGAATGATGAGTGTTCACATAAACAATTTTTCAAATAAACTGGTAAAACTTTGAACCAGTTCTCCTGTAGCATCCTATTGCATAACTGTCCTAATAATATAATCTTACCTGTATCAGCTGTAGAACTCTTGTGTAAATTGACTTTTCTGGGTTTCCTTTGTAGCCCTATGCTGTTCAGCAGCTCAAAGCTGTGGCTGGTGTGATGATCACAGCGTCCCACAACCGAAAGGAGGACAATGGGTACAAGGTAAGGCTTGAACTTGAAGTTCCTAGCCTGTCACAGCCAGTTGCTTTCCAGTATTACCTACTGGAAATGCCTTAGGCATTTGGCTGCTTCTGGAACACGTGTACAGTAGAAGGAGAAATTATTTCAAGTAATTCATCCTTCTATAACCTGAACTACACACAGTTTGTTTTGTGACTAGAGCTTAAGACCCCACTGCTTTTGTGTCTTGAGCACAAGTTCTGTTGTGACGTTCCAGAGAGTCTGATCAGCAGCTGAAGAGATGCTTGACCAATCTATGTGTTCACTTCTTAGACTTAAAAATGAGTTTAAAACTAACCTAGAATTTAGGTGCATTAATCCACGCAGCAGGTAACTCTGCTGAAGATGGGTGACGGTTTTAAGAGTTAATGAATAACATTTTTTGGTAGTGAGTTGCTCCCCATAAGGTTGTTTTTTTGGGCATTGAGAGAGAGGTGAGTGGGTTAATTTTGAAAGCTTGGGACTCTATAACCCTCCATAATAGCAAATGCTACTTATGTAGTATTGTAGCACAGGATTTCCTTTCTAAACTTTATAAGAATCTGAACTAAATTCTAAACTTTAATTAAATTTAGCATTGTAGAAGCTTAGTAAGAGGTCAGTGAGTAATAGCAATGATATGAAAACCAGTCTTACTCTGCAGAGTAAAAAAAATCTCACCTCTTAGAGGTGATTTTACTGCACTTTCCAGCTTGTTCCACAGAGGACAAGTGCTTCTCCAGCCTTTAATTTTGCTTAATGAGTAAGAAAATAAGCCGCATCAGTTTTTCAGGTGTTTCATTGATCAAGAAGCTATTATTTTTGTGTCTTTTGATACAAACCATTTTATTTTTACTAGGATATTGTTTTGTCTGTCTTGTCTTCCACAAGAATTGTTTTATCTTTGACTGTTTTCCCTGTGAATTCGGCAGCTTCTGAAGGTTTTGGATGATTTTAACCAAACTTGCCAAATGCATAGTTTTCATTTTCTATCCTGCAAGCTTTTCTAGTGTGCTGTGTAGGCTGTGGATCTTCTTTCGAGGGGAGGACCAAAAGGACTGGATGTTCTTTAGCTTTATTCAGTTAGGGAAAAAACACGTAACTTGGCACGCTGCTTATCTGTTTTGCTTTGATTTCAAAAACAAGTTGTGCTTCTTTTTTCAAAAGGAATGCCAGACTATGGAGAAGGTAATGTTTTTCTTCTATTACAGTTTACACAACACTCTCAAATCGAAGTGCCCAGTTTCGGTCTCTTACGTCCCGATGATTTCAGTCATAAAAGCTGAATACCAGCTTTTTTGAGAATTGTAGAATGGTTTGAGTGGGAAGGGACCTTTAAAGGCCACCCAGCCCAACTCTCTGCCATGAGCAGGGACAGCTTCCACTAGATGAGGTTGCTCAAAGCCCCATCCAACCTGACCTGGAGTGTTTCCAAGCATGGGGCATCTCACATGTCTCTGGGCAACCTGGGTCAATGTCTCACCACCCTCACAGCAAAGAATTTCTCCTTTATATCTTGTCTGAATCTTCCCTCTTCTGGTTTAAAACCATTATCCCCTGTCCTATTGCAACAAGCTCCGCTAAAAAGTCTGTTCCCATCTTTCTTACAAGACCTTTTTAAGTATGAACAGCTGCAATAAGGTCTCCCTGGAGCACTGAATTACACACAGTTTGTTTTGTGACTAAAACTTAAGACCCCACTGCTTTTGTGTCTTGAGCACAAGTTTTGTTGTGACGTTCCAGAGAGTCTGATCAGCAGATCCTCCCCACCTTCGCCCCGCTGGCCACGCTGCTGGGGATACAGCCCTGGGTCCAGGGGCTTTATGGGCTGCAAGGGCACGTTGCTGGCTCATGGCCAGCTTTCCCCCCACCAGCACCCCCAAGTCCTTCTCCTCAGGGCTGCTCTCCATCCCTTCATTCCCAACCTCTCCTCAGGGCTGCTCTCCATCCCTTCATCCCCAGCCTCTGTGGATACTGGGGGTTGCCCAAACCCAGGTGCAAGACCATGAAGTTCATGGTGAACTTCATGAGGTTCATACACACCCACTTCTCCAGTCTGTCTGTGTCCCTCTGGATGGCATCCCATCCCTTAGGTGTGTCACCACACCACACAGCTTGGTGTCATGGGCAGACTTGCTGAGGATGCCCTCGATCCCACTGTCTGTGTCATTGATGAAGCTGTGGATACTGGGGGTTGCCCAAATCCAGGTGCAGGACCATGAAGTTCATGGTGAGCTTCATGAGGTTCATACACACCCACTTCTCCAGCCTGTCTGTGTCCCTCTGGATGGCATCCCATCCCTTAGGTGTGTCACCACACCACACAGCTTGGTGTCATGGGCAGACTTGCTGAGGATGCCCTCGATCCCACTGTCTGTGTCATTGATGAAGATATTGAACGGTGCTGTCCCGGTGGGGACTCCTGAGGAACCCCAATCATCACCAATCTCCACTTGGACATTGAGCCATTGACCACCCCTCTCTGGATGTGACCATCCAACTGATTCCTCATCCACTGAACAGTCGACCCATCAAATCCATCTCTCTCCAATTTCGAGAGAGAGATGTTGTTGGGGACCGTGTCAAAGGCCCTAGAGAAGTCCAGATAGAAGACATCCATCGCTCTTCCCTTGTCCACTGA